ATAAAAGTGTTATTAAAAGCTTGAAGGACAAATGGAATAAGTGTATTGAGGTGAATGGAGATTATATTGAAAAATGAAAGTGCAAAAGATATTCTGCGACATGGTCGATATTGAAGTTGCAAAACGTATTGAACGCCCCTCGTATATACAGGTGAACAATATATTTTAGAGTTTATATTTAGGGCCACTTTTGGATGGATCGGAGCAGATTTGTTTTCAGGTGATATTTCCTGAAATATATCAGAGTCTTAGTTGTGTTTTTTTCTAGAGTTTGCCATCACTGTTCAAAATTTCAGGCGTGTTGTGTGTGCAATAGTTTTGAATTTATGTATGTTAAAAATACTTGTCTTGGATGGAAATGTTTTGTGGTACGCTTCGTAAAATCAATGAATCTGATAGGCGCAAACTTATGATAAATGGGTGTTTTCATATGAACCTTCGTCCCGTGTGGAACTGGAACATGGGTTTTCGGCAGTAAGATCAATGCGTGTATGATCAATGGCAGCGAGGGTCAGGGTGTGTTGCACGAGACGGAATGAATCTGCGCTCAGACTAAATACCCTTGATAATCTAGAGGGAGGGGTCAGCAGAGTGTTACCACTTCACTTGCAACCGACGATGTCAGTACGAGTAGTTTGTCTGTCTGCCAGTTGTTCATTTGATGTCTTCCAGATTCGTCAACCCAGATATTTGCGACTGTATTAACGGTGTTATATTGTAATAGAAACCTCATCTTCATCCCTAATCCAGTCAGCACCACCGTCTCATATAAACACAACACATTAGATAATTCTTAGTTCCGTCATAACCAACAGATCTGCTTAGAATTTATCATATTGTACTTCCTGGTGTTGGTATATTCATCGTCAACTTCATGTACAATTTATTATTTTCCACATAGGAACATTCACGTAACTGGAAAAGGAATCGACAAAATCACACACTATCAGTACATATATCAATCAATGTCAATGATAACGCCGCCTACAAGTCCGCGGAGAACGAGTGGTCTAAACACCACAACGCATGTGTTACTCTGTCATTCTAGACTTCTCTCTTGAAGTGTTCTCTGTGTCTGCTCCAGACAATGTCAGCCTGTCGTGCTGTACAGCTACAGCTATATGTGTAAACAGTGGTAACATCATGTATATTCAAGCAAATTCTCCATATTTTTATGTAAATAACATATAAAGTTACATTAAACAAGCAATCAAACAAAAGTATTTATGCATTCGGAACGCGCAAAGAGGGAGGGAAAATATATAATTATCGGATTCTTTCGATTCACTGTTCTCGCGTTACTTTTGAAACCGAAGAATTTTGCGTTTTGTAAAAACTTGTGGTTCTTCGTTATGTAAATACTAGTGTTTTCTATCAGCATGTTAACTGAGATAGAAATCTGATAAAATTATGCATCAGTACTATCAACTATTGACATGACTCTAAAACTTGTCCATTCCGCGTTTGTAGTCGATTCCATAACCCCATAACCATCCGTACAAAGATACATATGTTCCTGGTGCCAGCAGATGTACCTCCAAAATCCCTGTCTCAAAGATTAACGTTGGTTCTTGATACGAACCCATTCTGGCAAAACATTTGATATTTCAACTTTGTACACAACTATCCCACACGACAAACATAAGAAAAGGCTTCAATGCTTGATACATGTTACGCAAAGTAGTGACCATAGATATAGTTACATATCTATCTTCAGAGGATCTGGACAATTAGTAAAACATGAAAGCAAATGTCGCCTGAAGTTTACTGAGAAAAGGACATGTGAAATGCTTGACTTCCTCATTGAAAACATCTATGTAAAATTGGATGGTAAGACATTTAGGCAAGAGGTAGGCATCTCCAATAGCACTAATTGTGCTCCTTTTTTTGTTGATCTGTTCTTTATGCCTTTGAAGATTCGGACTGGCAAAGTCAAAACAAGGCCAAGAAGTTTTACTTAAGGTTCCGGTATATCGATGATCAAATATTGTTAAATAACAGACTTGAGTCCGATAGCCAATTCCCTTTCACTGATATACCCATCTGAACAGGAAATAAAGAAGACCAGAGAGGCCGCTTCAAATGTTTCATATATACTAGTATATCATATGCGTTTATTAAGATTAAAGTGACAAAGACTCGTCACAGGACTGTATGACAAGAAGGATGACTTCAACTTCTCAATAGTCAACAAAGGTTGTTTGAACAGGGTTACAACATTCAAACGTTTAATGGTAGACATGTGGAGGACATTTCACATTTTGTTACATCAAGGACAAAAATGATGTCCGAAGTGATCCCTATTTTGACTTGTATTTGCATGTGTTTGTGACGGGTGCCACCTGTGGGGCAGGATACGCTCCCATTTTCGCGAACACCTCTTATCATCACTGTTTCATAGTGATTCATATATATATATAGTCATGATATAGACGAACTCGTAAAATCGACTCTGCTTTTGGCATTGATTTCTAATGAATATGGGAAGTTTTTTTTTTCGCTTTTATTTATTCATTATCCTTTGTAATGATCTCCATGTTCTTTTATGACCTTGGTAAACACGAATGTCGGCATACCTTCGTAAGTGTTGACAACTGATGAATAGAGGGTACATGAGGTCAAATGATGTTATGTCGCTTGTCACATCATTGGTTAATGAATGTTGAAAAATATGTGTTACTGATCTTATTTCACGGTTTACAATCATCAGGTTGTGCGGATAGCGAAAATGAGCAGAGTGGCGAGAATATGGAACTAGAACTAGGACTCTTATGTACACAGTATTAATCAAAATAGCAAATTTTTATCACCATGTATGTTCTTCCAAAAACATAATACTTCAGAACGCTTTTACAGAAAGTACATATTTGGTGAAAAAACGATTAGGATGGGTTTACCAGCTCAATCTATTCTTAGGAAAACACAATTTGAGTACTTCAGCTTTCCTATCACCAATATTCAAAGAGACAATCAAATCTAAATTCAACTCCCTCTTCAAGGAATCTCTTCAAGATGTAAATGCAGCAAGAGGCACAGGAAACAAACTGAGGACATACAGGATAGTTAAAAATGAAATAAAATAAGAACCCTATCTCAGTCACTGTAAAGTAAAAAAATATCGAGTGCACTTTTCTAAACTAAGATTAAGTAACCATAAATTAAATATTGAACTTGGAAGACATACAAAGCCACCAACCTCACTACATCAGAGGCTATGCTCTACATGTTCAACTATTGATGACGAAAAACACTACTTACTTCACTGTATTAAACACACTCAAGAAAGAAATATACTCCTTGAAAAATTATCCAGACAAAATGTAAAATTTAATGTAAATGTCCAAAGTCATGAAGACTAATTATTTCACTACATCCTGTCAAATAATGAAGCAGTCAATATCAACTGCAATATCATCAAATATGTAATATTGATTGTTTTGTTTTGTATGTGTCTACAGGAATGTAAATTATGTATGTCTGTATATATGTATATATGAATCATAATGTCTTGTCTTTTAAAATTGCATCTGTCCCATAATGGAACGTTTCTGCAATAAATATTATCTTATCTTATCTTATCTTATCTTATGGAATCCGCGAGAATTGAAGATAATGGATGGTTATGTTTGGTATGACAAATGACAGAACGGGAACAAAGATATTTGGAATATTCCTGTCACTGTCATTAGCAATCAAGACTCGCGACGTCAAAATAAGACTATACGTAGACAGACAGTACATTGAGCCTTTAATGTCTTAAGAATGTTTAATGAAAGAAAATACCTATACGTTTGATATTGTCATGTTTCATGTATCGACTGAGACAAACCTCGGCGTCGTGGCTATTTGTGAGCTAATCCTAACTCCTAATGTCAAAGAGATATATTCCCTGGCCGAATCTCTCATGAAAAGTAATATTACACCCTGCCTTACGATCACAGCATTATACAGAATATATGTTTCCAGTTACCGGAATGATCTTTATCAGTAACATCATGTCACCTGCATACATAACCTGTCTATATCGACCTCATGTCACGTGTCTTATGAACAAACGCAATCAAAGTCTGTTCACTTTGAGAGAAGCGACATGTGACACTTGTTTCAATGAGTTAGTTACCATGGTAACATCCTACAATGACTTCCATCATCATGGATGTTTTGAGGAACTCTTGTGTAGGCCTGTCGCTACATTGCGAGACCATTAGCAGTGGCGACAGTAGGCAGTGGAATCTAGTGAAGGTAGTCGACGTATGAATGACAGCTAGAGTGCCTTGGACAAATCTGCACCATCATGGTAGGAGCTTAACATATGACCACACTTCAATGACATCTGTCTAGGTGTATTTTAACTTCGTTGAATACATCCATCTTTAAATTTCTAATGAAGTTTTTCAGACAATTTTTTGTCGTAACGATTTTTTTCTTTTATTTTTTGTTTTCATTTTAACTGGCTTCAAGATGCTAAATAAAATTACTTCACTTCTTTGATTATTTATTTTTCGGCATTTTTGTTTTCATTATGATTTGTCGTCATTGCTTGTTCTTGTTGGAGCTATATGCATAGTGATACAATTATCGCGATCTTTGATAGGTTTTTCAAACGTTAGAATCATTTTTACCGACGTAGGGTCGCAATTTGATTGGTCACTTGTCAGAAATCAGATAGCACTTGCTGAAACATACCTTTATGTAGTTTATGCATTTTTAGTAATTTATGAATGTATGAATGTATGAATGATGTTTACTTACATGCCTTTAACTTCGTCATTTCTATTTCGTTCTGCCCCTGCTCTAATTCTATTTATTTTTCCTTGCATTAAAATACGAATATGAATATTTTCAAATTGATTGATTTTACACATTGACTGTAACATTTTAGATCTTTGCTTATAGTAATCGCAACGAAAACGGAACTTTACCGGTTTTCACGTCACTAATGCAATAATTTGAAGTATGAAAATAATACTATCATGTAATGCTGCGTTTCTTATTTTCAGGATAACACCACAGACGACCCGTGCCGCCAAGAAGGGGTGGAAGAGGTCATGGCCTTCCTGAAAATGAACGTGACCTTTAACCGGTCATCTTGTCACAGCCAGGAACCCGGCTTCATCACCTACAGCCAGGCCTTCTACTCCTACTTCACCCCCGTCATCCTCATCATCGGACTCACTGGAAACATTTTGTCCCTCCGTGTCTTCGTCTCCAGAAATATGCGGAAACTCTCTGCGAGCACATACCTTGCTGCCTTATCAACGTCGGACATCATGGCGCTCGTGTTTTACGTTCTTGTTGATTGGCTGAGACGGGGACTTCCGTTTTTCTCGGGGAATCATGAACCGGTGTTTTTAGAGACGCATGGCGTTTGTCAAATAGCTCTGTATCTGTCCTATGTTTGTCGATTTTTGTCGGCATGGTTCATCGTCACGTTCACTGTGGAACGATACATCGGCGTGTGTCATCCGTTGCGGCGGAAGGATATCTGCGGAAGTAGATGCGCGCAAAAGGTTATTGGGAGCCTCGTTGTGATCGGTATGTGTCTGATGATGTATAAACCTATTCTAAGTGGTGTTTACACACTGAAACCGACCAATGTTCAGCGATGCACGGCTGATCCTAACCTTAAATTTGTATCTTTCACCCTGGACAGTATCTTTGCAGTCTCCATAACTCTTGTGCCATTTATGATCATCACCGTTCTCAACACCATGATCATCCGAAAGCTGTACATGCGATATCGCCGCCACAAGCAGTGTAATGTCATCACGGAGGAGAGTATCATCAGATTAGAGTTCACCATCATCCTGCTTGTGGTGTCTTTTGTTTTCATCATGCTTAATCTCCCTTTCTTCTGCGTGTGGTGTAAACAATTCCTATTGTCCGCATCGGAAGTGGTGATCTTTCCAGGACTCCAAGGATCTCTGCTCATTACCAGAGTCATATTCTACATGAACTATTGTATTAACTTCTTCCTGTATAGCATAACTGGAGCCTACTTCAGACAAGAACTGAGGATGTTGTTCGTTTACAGGAATAAAAGATACATGGAATATGGGAGATACTCGCGGAACAATTCAAACACACCCACGCCTCAGTCTTGGGTTTGACAAAGTGTCTATTTGTTTGCGTCCAGTTCGTGTTGTGCAAACAAAGGAAATTGTATAGCTTTATATGCTGTGTATACCACGTGATATTGTGATATTTTATTGCAACAATTGCTACAAGCGACGGATTGTAATGACTTGGTGAGACGTCCTCCAATTGTATATGTTGTATACAACATGTTGTATATTTTCTACCCACAGAAAGAGATGCAAAAACTGTAATCTTACAATTCATGTCACTTTATCCAACTACACGATACAAGTAACAGTTAAGATTCAATGTAGTGGTACAAGTGGCCCACTTGTCTAAGGCGTCGCAGTCATGAGTTCGAATCCCGAATTAGCTGGTTATGATCTTTGGGCTTTTATCACGGGTTTCAAATTATTTGTAAATCTGCATAAGTTTCCTCAAACATTAAAGCATACTGTTCAAAGCAGCGTCAAAACCAACTCTCCCACTCACTTAAATTCGATATGTTGACAATGCTTAGAACACCAAGGACAAATAACACAATGGTCTATCCCTGGCATCTCTTACAAATCACAACCGATCTGCAGAAAAAAAGTAAGATCCTTTTGTCTTCCCAAATACACTAGGAACATATGGAAGTGCTCATCTACTAATTACTTCAGTACACTCGATTTATTGTTATTTTAGATTCCAGAAAAGTAATGGTTTGGCGGAATCATACCTATTCTAAGTCATACTTTCCTTGACACTAAGATTGGCGTATTGTTATCTCGGGAGTGCTTTTGGATGATTTGACAGGAATAATGCAACATATCAGTATAACGTGACGCGATCTTTTCTGTTTCCTTCGCCTTTGGCACTGAAACGTTTCTTGTATATCAATCGAATATGTAGAAATATACACATGTGTTTCCATTTCTTGCGCTTATAAAGCAAATATGTTAATGTTTTTGTTTACTGGGTAGAACAATATTTTGAAAACTATAGTTTGGGGTCGTTAAACACAAGGGATGGGAAACTGCAGGTGCGTTAAAAGATGAAGGGTCGGACTTCTGTGAAAGTTGGTGTGGAGTAGGATGGGGTCACGGATGAAATCGTGAAGACCAATTATGACCAACCTCGAATATCTCCATTCTATTATTAATAACCATGACCCATTTGACAACTTATCTTCGTTTGGCCAGTGTGAATTACAGGTAGCTAAACATAGACATCCAATCTAATCACACTGCTCTTTCGGGATTTAAACAAGCAGCACTTTCTCCAATAGTCCCTCAACCCTTGCGTGTCGTAGCGAATACAACTGGGAGGTAAAGTAGCATAAGGACATCACCCGACGTAGAATTCAGGAAAACACAATTTCCAAGCATAAAGTCATTTATAACATCGAGGGTCCGTTCGTATGATGCCGCTATTTTGAATGTAAATCTATACAGAACCCAGTTTCAGAGGAGGTATTTTGATTGGTTGTTGTTTTGATGCTCATGAGGAGAAGAATTCTATGTTAAGATAGTGATAACAGTGATGGAGGTACGTCCGTCACTTCCAAAACAAAACTAAGATGGCGAATGGGTCCAGGCTGTATATTATTTTATAGAATAAGATATGATAGCCTGGATAACTGAGGATTTATGATATTTTGTTTAATCATCGATCGCCCAGTTCGTTTCTCTTCAAAGTAACCTGTTCCCGATGTACATGCAGCAAAACTGTCATTTGGACATTCCGTTCACCTCCCCAGGTCGCGTTACAGTGAGGGGGTGCCGCTTCTACTCACCTGTATATGATCAATATTTAATCCAGTCGACTCAAATTACTATGCTTATACGCGAGTCTTTATTCTACGAACTATTTTGGTTGAAACATATTTATTGTTATTTACCATAAAAAAAAGAAAAGAAAATGGTTCAGATGAAAAAATGAATTGTGAAAGGTTTGTCTAATTTTCTTTAAAGCACATTCTGATCTCGTATTGCACAGATTATTGCAGGGTGCATTTTGAGTATTATCGCTTCTACACATTCTACTTGCGATATGGTCATAAATAATTCACTACATTCGCTGTAGGACTCAATAAAGGCATAGTCGCCGATTGATGGACTCCATATTTAATGCAATTGAAGATGCTGGCGTCTTCGGTAACTTGATAGTTGTTCTGTGTCTGGTGAACTAGCAAGTCATGTGAAGCAGCGACTTAAATCAGATATTTTTCAAATCCATATGTGTGTCTACGATTCCATTTGTTTGTTGTCATGATTGTTACAATAATACTAATTTATTACATCTTTTTCTTTTAGTTACAACATTAGGTATAGTAATAAGAGCACACAGCACAGGTTTATGGCTTGTGAATTTGGGGAAGGTCCTAATTATACCTCTCTGGGGAAACCATTAATACTTATTTGTCATTCGAAATCTCTAATTTAGACAGTGATCCAGACCTATATGAATATTTCAGTCCTGATTGAAGGCTTCTTTTCGGTCTTGTTTGTCGCGAACATGAGCTGTTGACCCAAGTTCTCTTACTCCCAAGCTACTTCAAAATGTGCTTCTTGTCTCTAATAAATAGAGAAATATTAATCTTCCAATATTTCTTTGGATGTGAACTGTTTTGCATTTATGTATTTACCATATATGTACCAGATCTTAATATCGAAGTATGAACCATTCCCATACATGGAATAGTTCATTGTTTTCAAAAGAAATATACTTCTATTTCTTCTGTTTTACAGATCAGTTTAACTGTGTATGTGTATAGAATGCACATCAAGTTATTAGTTCATGCTTCTCTTCCAGTTGTCATTCTTTAATCCACCTGTTCATGTTTTTATTTGCATCATTACTTTTTAATGCTTAAAAAACGAATATGAATATCCCCATAACAGTGACGTTGATAAGTGTGCACGTATTGTATCCAATACATTGTGTATTCACATGGATCTGAGATGATGGTTTTGACAAAAATGGAAACAGAAATAGTTGTAGTTATTACGATTGACATGATCAGTGGCAGCTACAACCTGACTTGGTTAAGATGTTATCTGTGTATGTCCGGTCATTTGTTTTTCATTGAAACACCGGGATAGGGTAATTCATTCCTTTGTGCTGTTTGAAAAAAACAAAGCAATGAAGCATAAACGGATTTTCTTGTCGACTACCTCTTTAGAATAATAGGTGTTAAGTGTGATTACAAGGTTTGTAGGGCTTGGCTGAGTTTAAAATAGTGAACGGTAAAATAGACGAACATCAGTACTATCAGGAATCATCATATCGTGAATCGATGCACATAACATTTGATCATACATAATAAAAACAAAATAATAACTTGTATTGCGCTCTCAATGCACATTAAGAAAGTGAAACGAAGATATATAGTCCATTATATTTATTAACACAATGTAATGTAGCAATATATTCCTGCCCAAACATCACCATAGTCTTAATTCAAATACTTCAGCACAATTCACACAATAGAACAATCTTGTCACGTTTCACTTGTGTTTCAATACACATGACGCTTCGTCATCATATTCCAAGACACTCCGTTCTTCTGCCACTGTATTCTGCTTCAAGTCAGTGGGTCGATGTTCCAGATCAAAGAACTTCCTTTTCTTCGGTGGTAGGCGTCGTCCAGCAGTGTACTGAACAGGACGAATTACTTGAATGTATGTTAACATCTCGAACACGTTAAATGTGCTTTGGCGAGGACTTTCTAAGGTTGCCCATCTCACCCTTCACCCTTGTTGGACAGGATGTCTCGAAATGATTCCAGGAGGACAGCGAATGGTCTTCCTCAATCTAGTGGGTTGTAACGCTGTCCTCAAGTTGGAGAAACTTATAGTCAAACTGCTGATTCGTCATAGTGAATATGATAATACATTCACGTTGAATGCTGCCTATATACTCTAAGTTGTTTATTTATTTGAGCAAATTCACTCACTATCTGTCACTGATACACAATCCCAACAATCATTCCCTCTTTCAATGTAAATTCACTCGCTATTTGAGTGAACCTCGTATTAAGCCACACGTACACAAGCCCTATTCGAGTGAGTGAACTATTTGTAACATAGCCTCACATGGAAGGATTTGCCTAATAGTGAAATCTTTTGTTGTGGGCATTGTAGGATGTCATAGAGCTATATACATCTACACAAAAAGTCATTCAATTGAGCAAATTGTTTCGCTGTGACAAGTCAGTGAAATGAGCAGGGTCTGTGTCCTTTGGAAAATGGACAAACATGAGGAAAGTGCGTATTCACCATTACGCAATTCCTTCTTTGTGAGGTTCAGAACTTATCAGTCAGCCCTCGTTGGTTCACTTATGTTTCATTTGCTCCACTTTGAATATGTGTCATTGAAATGTTAATTTTGGATAGATGGAACCTCTATCTCTTCGAATTCATACCATAATTAATATGTGTCATGTCAATTGCCATTTCTTGTAGATATATATACAATGTGTACTTTATTGTGTGTATTAATAATATCATAACACATGTTATTCTGAAATATGTTACATATATTTGACACGAAATTGTTAATGCTTGGTAAATAGTATCAGCTATAAGATATGAAGAGTTATAGCCACCAAGGTTTCCTCCTAATGTTTTGCCTATAAATGTTATGAATTTGTGTTACATATCCGAGATACGTATGATTGCTACTGTTATGTTATGGTTGTACGTGTTCCTCCGACGGCAGGTCTGTTGGTTAATTTTTTAACACATTTTTTCACTTACTTGTATGAATGTCGTAAGGTTATGTGAGTTTTTAAATAAAGGTTATGGTAAAAGTACTGAATTGTCACATTGTTGTAATAATGCCATATCGTCCAATTGGGATATTTGGTTTGTACAGTTTTATTAAATAGACTCATTTGACCAACATCATGTGTATCACTAATCGCAAAATTACCCTTATAGTACACGCATCTGTTTTCATTAAACACTGGGACATGCTGTCTTCTAAGCCGTCGCAATTTGCTATGCAGACTGACGCCACTTAGTGTGCAGGGAAACCTATGATCATGGATTTGAATCCCAAATCGCTCTGATTATATTTCTAGGTTTGTCAGCACCAAGCCGTGCTCGTGGGTTTCATCAAAGCTGTAAACGTCAAAGACCTGCATCACTTCGGGATTTCCTTCCACATTAAGCTGACACGCCGTGATGTAACTGTAATACTGTTCAAAGCGGCGTTAAACCCAAATAATTCACTCATTATTTAAGTTATTGATTATTAATATTGTCGCAACTTATGATCTGCTTCGTCAGAATTGAAAGGTTGTTCGTTCATGTCTGTGGTACTATTATCTATACAACTGAGATGTTACGGGAATAGAAATAAATGAGTATTCTAATATTGATCGTTATCTCAATACGTGAGAACGTGTCGGGGATATTGTGTAGTTTATGCTTGTTTGTCACGTTAAACTGTTCAGTAGCGTTGTTAAAGTATTTATTCTGTGATAAAACGTATTATTTATATGACATTGTTAAGTGTAATAAAACATATATGTCAAAGAAGTGTCACTTTCTAAGTTTCCCGAAGAAAACATCTCGATGGATAGACAGACAAATATATATTATGACAACATTAGAAAATGTGCCATAAAACGTTGCTATGTAATAACTATCAGTTTATTACAATTACAGCATAACCACCTGCTGTTGGTTGTTAAATGTTTTATTGTTCATCAGATATGTTTAGTACTTCACGACTGGAACGCTGCATAGATGGAGATATTCAACATTCGCATCTTTTTAGTTATCGTGAATATTTACACAGTTGTCATGCGGAAATCAGATGTATGAACAACACTAGGTATAGATTAATCTGTCACTGCCTTAAGGACTAGTATCGGTTCAGGTATACATTTACATACAACTATTCTTCATGACATCATCGACGGTATTTCAAATTCCCTTTCCCAGAGCGTTGGTGCTGTGAGGTTATATAGTGCTTCTGTAAATATCTACAAGTTACCCGCAAACACATTGCATTGGGAGACTGATGTTTATGAGGATGCCTCCTAAGCTTGGCTTTATAATATTAGTAAAGATAACAAAAAATCTAACGCCTTTTGATTCAAAATCCTACAGGTACACAAAGGCCAATCCCACATCAACCCTACATGTAGTTCAATCTTAAATCAAGCCTATGTCATTCCAATGTTCTATATAAAGCCTACGTAAAATATAAATGACGACCATGTGCATGTCAATCCTATGTTAAAATTATATCAATCCCACATAAAACTGTCAATCGTCATGTACGTCAATCCTATGTTATTCCTATATCAACACCTTGTCAAGCAACAATCACTTAGTCTACTGTATCAATCCATCACCAGTGTGCTTTAATATTCTTTAAGGCTGCAGTCAGCAATATTCCTGTTATATAACTGCACCCTGCCGATACCCGAGTCTTGACCCGACTGACAATCCAGTACTATTGTTATCACCATGGAGACCGGGGAGAATGACACCAAACCAACCAGTTCACGTACGAGTCTGATGACCTGATTCATTTTCGTAGCCTCTTTCGACAATCATGTGCTACAGGGGAACCATTCTATCCTGTATCCTGCTTCAGGAGTGGGTCGGGGTTTTTTTCAAACCCCATGGCAATATCATGACAGGAAAATTGTCAACTCCTTATCTTCAGGGTATTAAACACAAAAATTCTTAACCATGTACCTCGGACATTCATCCATTTTAAAAATACACTACGTTTATATTTCAGTATATCTATGACATATTTGCTTGCTTTGGAATATGATTACATCTTTTAGTAGGTAATTTTGACATTATCCATGATGAATGGAACAGGACAGGTGACAGGGTGCGGGCTGTATGCAAGTCCGAAAGGAGCGATGAGGGTAGCCTGGTGGTTTAAGTGTTCGCTCGTCGTCACGCCGAAGGCCCGGGTTTGGCTGCTACGTGGGTACAAAGTGTGAAGCCAATTTCTTGTGTTTCTCTTGTGATACAGATGGAATATGGATAGAATTTGCGTAAACCCATACTCGCTCACTCAAGTCTGAAAATCGATGTATTTTCATATCACATACTACAATAAACGACATAAACACAAGCAGTGCCTACACCTGCATTGAACCATGAGACGCTGTTCCCTGTATCCAAGACGATATCAAAGTAATAGATGTGGTACTTTTTAGCCACGAAATGTTCCGTGCTGTGCTATTGCCAATAACAGAATGGTTTTATTACTTTTCTTATGTCCGTATCTGTCGCCATCTCCTACGTAATTACAAACACGTGAACACTAAAGCGTACATAATTTAAGGTTCGAATTTATTGTGCAAGAAATCTGTACACAATGGGATTCATAATAATATTAATTGGAAACGAAATATAAAACCGTTCGTTCGCTTCACATTATTTCTCTTTTTCTGATTCAATATTACTTCCAAACTGATTATTTCGAGTAATGCAGTAAACGCTATTAGAGCAATCGTTCCGATGACGCTAAGCCACACGGGTATGAAGAGCGTATCCCTGTCACTGTACTTTTGGCAAAGAAATCTGATAACCACAAAAATGATACAATTATTATTTACAATGTAACCTTATAATAATATGATTATTTACAAAAATAAATCTAGACCCCCTTTAAGTTGGTTGGTGATACTACAGAAAAAGAATTATTTGTGACCAAACGTAGTAACCACAGGTAAAGTTACATATCTATCTTCAGAGGTTCGGGACAATTTGTAAAACATGAAAGCAAATGTCACCTGAAGTTTACTGAGCAAAGGACATGTGAAATGCTTGACTTCCTCATTGAAAACATCTATGTAAAATTGGATGGTAAGACATTTAGGCAAGAGGTAGGCATCTCCAATAGCACTAATTGTGCTCCTCTTTTTGTTGATCTGTTTCTTTATGCCTTTGAAGATTCGGATTGGCAAAGTCAAAACAAGGCCAAGAAGTTTTACTTAAGGTTCCGGTATATGGATGATCAAATATTGTTAAATAACAGTCCAATAGCCAATTCCCTTTCACTGATATACCCATCTGAACTGGAAATAAAGAAGACCAGAGAGGCCGCTTCAAATGTTTCATATATACTAGTATATCATATGCGTAAAGATTAAAGTGACACAGACTGCTATCTGAATATAACTGAGAAAACAATGCATAATATGCTGGACTTCCTCATTGGAAATATCTACATGGTAGACACAATTTTATGGATAACAACTTCATTAATGCTGTAAAAAGCGACGTATAGATCCTTATACCGTTGTCAAGCAGGACTGAATGAGGGACAAAGTACAGAATATATATAGTAGGTGAAGGATTAACGGTAGAGGATAACAGTAACAACAACAGCATACGTGAGTGGGATTAACAGTAACAACAATTGCATACATGAGTGGGATAACATGAGTAAAATGTTGACAACAGAAGGAATATACTGTCACAACACGATGGACAGAGAACACATAGGGGGAAGCTAATAGGGACATGAAGCCAATTAAACAGGATAAGTGATTATTGCTTGATGAGTTCATAGTAGGCGGATGGGATGAAATAGCCTTGATGTCTGTTGATTGATGGCTTGTGGCGGCGATTGTGGACTGCTTCTGTTAGTTTTCTTTTAGTGAAAACATGGAGGTAGTTGGAGATAATTTGGGCGTTGTCCCAGTTGATGTTGTGATTAGGACAGTTGCTGATATGGTCCGTGATGGCTGATTTACTGTCTGATTTAATGGTTGAAGTTTTGTGCTCTTTGATTCTGGGTGTTGATGGGGCGGGATTTTCACCTACGTAAGATTGTCCACAGCTGCACTCAATTTTGAAGACTACATCTTTAGGCCCTTGGGTGTCTTGGGTGCTGGTTGTGTTCCTGCCGTTGGCTCTTAGCAGGGTGTTGAGGGAGTTGGAGCTGTGGAAGTGGGTGTCAATATTGGCTTGCTGTTTGAGGAGGCGGCTGATGATGTGGGATAGTCAAGGACCAACCTGTAGGTCCCGTGACCAAATCATTGAAACAAAGGTTTGAAAGTGTTGTGAGTTTCCTGATGTATACTGAACAATTTTGACTTGGGCTGCCCGGTTGAAAATCCCGGGCATTGTGGGGAAGGGTCAACAAAGGTCAAACAGGGGTCAAAATTCAAAATTGTGTCGATATGCATATCAAATTACTCGTCAAGTCATAAGGAACCTAGAAATATATAGTTTGTTATATTTTCGACCTTAAATGGGGAGCTATGGCCAAAAACGTTGAAAGGTCAACGCACTTTTGGCAGTCGGTGAAATTCACTAACACAGTTAACATTGTCCGATAGTCATGATTTTAGTGTCTAATAATATGTTTTCTGACATGACAAATTCAACCAAGCAACTGTTAAAAGTAAAAAGGGTTACCTTGACCTTGAAAATCGGAAATGGTTGGCTGCACGAAGAATTGTAATGCTTCAGCAAAGTCACAGGATCCTTGGCCAATAACGCAGCATATTTCAGAATCCATTGTCCAGAAATGCTTTTCTAACCTTACTTTAGTGCACAGTTCATCATCCTACTCTGTGTCATACTCATCAGATGCAGAGTCGGAATCACTGTCACAATCACTATTATCTGAATCTGTGTAGGATTTTCTACAGAGCAGTTTGCTCTGGCATCACTCAGATGTTCAGGCAGTGTTGGCTGTGAATACCGTATTGGCAAGTAAGCATTTCTCTGGACAATGGATTCTGAAATATGCTGCGAATGTCAGTTCATATGCAAATTGTTGAAGCAACTTCAGGTGTTGCTGAGAATTTGATAACACAATCGATGTCAGCCGTAGTTTTTGGTGCAGTTAATGTACGTGTAGCCGACGTGTATTCAGGCTGAGTACACAGACAGTGCTCGTCTAGGATCCCTGAAACACACTGAAACAAAGATATAGTCGAAAGCTTACAATGGACTTTGATTTTTAACAGTTTTGTTGTTTCCGTCATCCAGACTGCATTGTTGACGTCATTCAACTATTATTGTTATGTAAGGTGAAAATGACAGCACACTGTCATCACAGCGTGTTTTTATTGGGGAACTCAAAAGGATTAAGAAATAATAGGTAATAAAGAAATTATTACACTCGCATGTGATTTTGCGAAACTCGTGTAAGAATTGATGTATTAACCTCACCATGGCTAGGGAAATACAAGAATTCTGAGTTTAGGAAAATCAGTACGACACATATGCTTGTATAATAATCTCTATTAATAAATCCAATTAGTTTGTCAATCATTTCTCGGACATATGTTACAGTCGTAATGTCAATTATCATACTTATTAGTCTGGGTGGTGACGGAACCAAATCAAATTACAGTATTAAGCGGCAAAACGCATCAAATCAACGACAGCCTGTTTATGGTACAGATGTCGGTGTTTGCTATTGTGTCTAAAGGTTGAAATAAACATTATGGTTATCCAAATGTCAGAAACAAAGTAATAGATGAGGGATATGTCCTAAATTAGAAAGATGAAGTTCGAGGAAGGACGTGTCTTCAGATTTGCAAGCTGAAGTTACATAGAGGATGTCTTCAAATTTTCATGAAAATGT